CTAAGTCTTAGTGACTAAGACCACATCAAACGACCCAAGAACGCATTCATTGTCTTCCGTCACGAATGCTGTTTGAAAAAGAACGAGGCGGAGGCTGCACTACCTGCAGAAGACGACCTGGTCGCACGACATCAGCGTCGAGCTGACCTCTCCAAAACGATCTCATACCAACGGCGTTCGCTGTTTGTAGAGGAACGTAAATACTGGGGCGAACTCGCGAAGCAGAGGAAGAAAGAGCACGAGGAGATGAATACCCATGGTACGTCTATCGGTTGTTGTGATTTGCTAAGGTAGTGATAGTTTTGTTTCTGTTATAATGTGTTAATATTATGTACCGTTCGGCGTTGTTAGTAAAGAATAAAATATTTAAATAAAATATATATTGTATAATAAGCCATTCAGATAAGATATAAGCTGTAAATTAACTTATTTAAGGATTATAAGATAGCAGAAGAAGTATTATGCCATATCAGAAGAGGGGTGCAATATATACAAATATAGACTTTCCTAAGAGCTATAATTCTTATATCCCCATTGTAAGGACATGTAATGTTTATTAATTCTTATAATATAAATCTGTCTTATTACAACCTTATAGTATCTTTTATATATCTTATCCAATGAGGGGTGCAATAAATGTCATTATGGATAATATTGTTTTTTTACATATTATATATGCATATAAGAGTATATAATAATTAAGACTTTTTCCTGACGTGGGTGGTGAAGTTCTAATACCCTGGACAATCTGATCTGATGGCTTTTGCCCTGTTCAATGAGACCTTCCTATAAATCGAACAGTTCTGATATTGCAGGGCGAACAGGATTGATGGGTTTCAATCTTGTTGGAGGAAGATTGCTGGAACCCCAGTCTTGATGAGTAGATCGAAGAGCATGGATTCGAAGTCTCATCATTGTGTAGTTCCATTCGAGCAGCATCAGTCAAACCCTTCCGGTTTATTGTTAAAATGCTGTAGCCTATATTGCTTTATACAATGTGAGTAACGTAAGCAACGTTAATATGCTGAGCAGAGATCTGTACAGAGTCGGCAATGGAAAAGCCCGAGAACGGAATAGTGAGCCACTCGATCATTGTAAGGATCAAGGGAAACTAGTCAGCAACAACGGTAGGATTCAAGTTCCAGGTCACTTCAAGATTGATGCACTTGTGTGGTTGAATATCGAATCAGTTGACGTTCCATGGTACAAGCTTCATAGCCAGAGAGACTTAGGTGTCATGATGACGCCTCTTTGTCGGTCAGGATTGGTGTCACTGTGGGCATTGGAACGGGTTGTGTTCGCAACGTTTCACCCAAGTTGCCATCATTGTAAGTGAGCTTGTGGTCGTCTTCGGAGGTAGGACAGCCTGCTACTGGTATCAACCTTGGTTGTCCGGTGCACTGAGCACTGCGTTGTCGTTGACCAATCTGGCATAAATGATGCCATTTGATGGATGGGAAATGATAATTGATTGACGCGACCCCAATAGACCGTGGGATGATCGCCGAGTCGCGAGAGATGATCAACGCAACCACGCTGACTTGCACTGCTCTCTCTCACATTGAGTCACAACAAATTTATCTAAACCTTGTGTCTACTTTGCGTCGAACAATTACCTTAACCTGTCCAATGCTATCATCTACTGGCTCTTACATGAGAGCTCACAGCATTGAAGATTCGTTACGGCGCTTATTGCTGTTGGTCCAGATCGCAAATCTAAGGCCATTGCATCTGCTTGCTTTCTGTATTTACAGAAGCGTTGTGTGTGGCCAAGAAGTGGCCGGAAAGTGACCATGGCGGCTATAAATTGGCGTATCCCCAGCTCGAACGTTGCAACTTATTCTCTAAAAGCGACTCCATACACCAACCTGCGCAGTTGATTCATCTACAATTTTTAATCAGCAAATGCGCCCTCTTCATATTGATTTATACCAACGTCTAACAGGATACGCAGGCAGAAATTATTTTCAAATGGCTTCTTTCCCGATGAACAACTAAGTGGCACAATTACAATCAACAACTTACCAGATGAGATTCTCTGCAATATTTTTGAGCGTGTTCTACAAATGTCGCAGAGGGATGTGCCATTTCAGGAGACTATCAGTCACTTAAGGTTGCGGGCTAAGATCTATCCCAAGGACATTCCGCTTGAAGAATCCATGTTGGTGCCATTGCGACTCAGCCAAGTTTGCAGGTTATGGAACGACCTTGTCATATCATGTCCGTCCCTTTGGACCGACATTACCGTTCTCATATACAAACTCGATAGCACACGAAGAGATAAATGGTTATCAAGTACAGTCGATACCTGGATCGAGAGATCGAGGTTATCTCCTCTTCGTCTTAGGTTTGAGTGCGATACGTCCTGCTTGACTACTCGGGGATATCCGTACGACGAGCCTAATGATGACGCTTCCGACGTTCAAGGCCCGAAGTTGGAGATTGCGGCGCTTATACTGAAGAATTTACTAGATCATCACCACCGGTGGAGAGACGCTTTCTTTACATTCATTGGGCCCGATCCTGGGATGCTACCGCAACTTGGCCTTGTTGACGCCCCACTCCTAGAATCGCTCTCCATTTGCTGGGGCGGGTTCACCCAATACTATGACATGACGCAACTAGACCTTGACATTTCGAATTCTCCGAGACTGAGCAACCTACACCTTACATGCATTCCTCGCATTATAACTGGGCGCGTTTCAAATCTGAGGAAGTTGAACCTGAACAGTCGGCAGACGTTCACTGACATAGACACAGGCAGAGGCAAACAGAAATCGGTTCTCCTAGAAATATTCCGAGACATGCCAAACTTGGAAGTTCTTGACATTGGTGTCCTCAACTGCGTAGCTGGCTCTGAGGTGTCTAATCCACAGAGCTCCCGCGTCACTCTGCCCAAATTACACACGCTCGTAGTTGAGAATGATGATTCTACTATCTTCATCATCAGCCAGTTGATCCTACCGGGGCTGAGACGCTTGACTTGTAAGCATTTTCCAGACGATGTCGACGTGCTTTTGGATATGTTTGTACGGTCCCAGGCGTCCCTGGAGTATTTCGAAATTCGCTGGACCATGATGATTGAAGGCAGATTCGGCCCTTTGCTGCGGCTCACGCCAAGTTTGAAAACGCTTTGTATGAAGTACGTCATGCTCACACCCGATCTCTTCAAGATGCTGTCCGCCAAAGAGACAGGCGACTCTCTGGAAGCGAATTCCATTATATGTCCCAATCTCGAGGAAATTTTCATCGCACATTGTATTTATTACGATCGCGGAAGTCCCGCTGAACTGGAAAGAACACACGTAGAGTTGTTACGCGATATGCTTCAGAAGAGATGTGATGCGCTCGGCCGGGTCGCCACAGTCATTCTCCACGCGGCCGGTTCTATCGATCAAGATTCAGTCCGTATTTCGCCGAGTACCAGATTTGACATTCTATTCGAGAAGCCGCTGCTAACAGAGAGTCAATTTGTACGTGAAAATCCGCATTATTCTCTCCATACGTAGTCTGTCTGTCACACGTTTCTTCAAAAAATATATAACACTCAAACTGTACAACTCTTATGCGCCAGGCATTTCCTCTGGCCCGTCCGATGTTGAACATAATCTACTAACTTTTACTGATACGTACTTTAGCATAATAAAACTATCACGGAGCACGTTTCCATTGGCCCGGAATGATCAATGACAGGACCGCCGCACTCGCTTACACAGCTCTATATGTGCCGTATGATCGCCGAGCCGAGTCTGCTGAGTCGACAATTCTTATCTACGCGTCCTTTACCACTTTCAGGTCAGGCAGAGATACCAAGGCAATGTGCAAGACGACAGTAAAGTAGTAAAGATGTAGATGCTCAGCCTCACAGAATGTTCTCCACTAGCAAGCCTGAGAGAGTGTTGTCATCAAACTGCAATACTCACCAAGAGAGTCAAAGACAAGGACTTTGTACCAAACTGAAGAGGACTAATCAGAGAAAGTGGAACGTAGGTCTTACATTTCCTATTACATAATATATTTCGCCAGGATAGGAAAGGGAATTTGATCTGCAATTAGACTTACTCCCTTCCAATGCCTCCAGAGACTCTTTGTTACCAAGTCAAGCAGAACTCTCTCTCGACAGTCTGACGTGTGAGTTATATGCGTGAATATTTCATTAGTAGCGACTAGATATTACAGTGACCCCGTATTAGGGCAGTACACAAGAATGAGCTGCATTCTTACAGTGCGAAGACCTCGGGCACTCAAATGGTACAGGAAGTGGGCATCTATGAATCGTTCTGATTACACCCGTGATGCATCCTCAGAGCCTTCGGCATCGTTCGTACTGGCTACAAGAAGGTGAGCGTTTGGTAATCCCATGTATTAGTGTGAATGTTACCATCGCTTCCAACCGGCTGCTTGAATTCAATGTTGCTCACGGATTTCATGCGATAGCTCGTGCCCTCGTTAACTCCCAGTTTCCCTGCCTCCTTCATGTTAAAGAATACTCGACTTCCTAAGATGCATAGGAATGACCGGCTTCCAAATTGTTCAAGAAGAAGTGCTAAAGACACGCTCGTATCCACCTTGAACTCCATGATGTTGAAAATGCAGCACGATACTGCACTATTAAGCAAATTATCTAGCATTTATCACAGTTGTTCTACTTTTGTGACTCACAGTATGAAATATATCATTTGATCACGGATGAGAACCCTCACAAGCTTGAACCCTTTGAGCCCCGCTTCAATTTTCCAGTATCCCGCAGCTTTATACAATGCGAGTGACATGAGGATCAATCCGTACACTAGTGGAATAGTCCTGCATTATGTCAGTCATTGACTCGCTAAGAATTTTTGAAAAAAATACCAGTCAATAATTGCTATTGTCAAAATGCCACCATTGTTGAGACAGATCGAGGTACCTTCCGTTAATGGCAGAATAGAAGCTATATCTAGTAAGGCTTCTTACTCTGAGGTTGATAAATGTGGTTACTCACTCTGCTCTACCAACGTTCCATATACAACTATAGCAAATTTAGAGGCTGCCTCCAAACCCAGAAGGGTCGCAAGACATGTAGTAAGAGATTTCTCTGTTGCAGAGTTAGCACACAGCAATTTGTACAGTTGCCCTACATACGACGTGAATATAGTGCCAGAACTCTAATCATGAGAATATCTGCAAATTAGCTTTCAGCGAAAATGTCAGTAATGAGGTAAGATTCTTGGCAGACAGTCGATTGATATTATAGTGACCCAGGCTGAGTGACTCGTCAGTGCAGCAGATGGCTTTGTGGCTTCATGACGTACCAGAGACAACAAAAGCCCATTGAGAGAAAACGCCTGAAAGAGGTTAAATCAACATATAGGTACTATACATATTGCTCACATCTTCAAATTATTTGAGGTTAAATATAGAAATAACTCTATGTCTACTCACATGCTTCGGTTAACATCCAGTATGTTGGCTAAATAAGATAATCAGCTATCAGGGAGGGAAGCATAAGTATACTGTATTGTTTACAGAATATCCGTGACGTTGCTCCGAAGATGCCTACATATCGATTCTAGACCTGTTGAGATAAAATATTTATGAAGAGAATTAACCACTTACTATGAAATAAACCAAGTTGACGGGTTTAGTGAGCTGATGTCCCTATGAACTAGTGTGTTAAGCTACTTTCAAAGACGAATAAACGAAATCGAATCATTTACCCAGAAGAACTCAATCTGTTGCAATGGTCAAAAGTATCAATGCATAAAGGTTCAAGTACAACGCACCTCTCTATCAATTGTAATTACTGTAATATAATTAATACATAGTACTAGTCGAAAATTACATAGACGGACGTACTTGCATCATAGACTAAAAGGGTCATGGTTGCAACTAGCCAATATTGTTGAGTCATTTCTTCTGAGAAAAATTCCTGCACTAGGCTAGGATCTAGGGCATCCGGATTATCTCTGACTGAGAGCGGCATTGTGTAAGCGCAAATCTCTGAAGATGCTGGGTCGAGAATGGGAGTGTTGGTGATGGTGCTGCTCGGGCATCAAACGAATCCGTACTTTATAGCATTCAACTAAAAGGTATTTTTAGTGCATTGACTTGAATATACTATCAGTGTGTTCCTGTGATCAGATGCATTGTGCGTTTTAATCGCATCAAAGATGAAAGATCCTTTGGTCCTTGAAGCTTAATGGGCGACCTCTTACTCTATATCAGAAGTTTGATGAGAGAATATTGTATAGCTACAAAAGGTGGGACTCCCAAACTAACCAAATCACCCTTCTATTTATATATAGTTTATGATATTACAGAAACCTTTGAATGTAATACTAAATATCAGACTCTTTTCAGGAAAATGGACGGAAGACCCCACCCTAATTTACAGTCGTCATGATCATGAATATTACTGTAATTTCGGATAGACAATAAGCACCTACACTATATGTACAGTTCAATTATCCCTCTGAATCAACATTGCTTTCAGAACCTTGATAGGAATAAATCTACTACTTAGCTGCTGGAATCACTGTAAGTAGCGTACTTCCGTTCACAGGTGGGTGATGAAGTTCTAATACACTGGACCATCTGATCTGACGGCTTTTGCCCTTGTTAAATGCGGCCTTCCTATAGATTGAGCAGTTCTGATATTGTAGGGTGAACAGGAATGATGGGGTTCCATCTTGTTGGAGAAGATTTCCAGAAACACAGTTTTGATGTGTAGATCGAAGCCATGGTATCAAAGTCTCACCATTGTGTAGTTCCATTCGAGCGGCATCGGTCAAACCCCTCGAGTTTATTGCTGAAACGTTGTAGCTTATAATTGCTTTATACGATGAGAGTAACGTAGGCAACGTTAAAATGCTAAGCAGAGACCTAGTACAAGTCGGCAAACGAAAAGAACGAGAACAGAATAGTGACCCACACGATCGTTGTAAGGTTTGGTGGAGGCCAGTCAGCTTAACCGTAGGATCCAAGTTCCAGGTTACTTCAAGATTGATATACTGTATGGTTGAACTCAGTTGACAAACCATAGTGCAAGCTTTATGGTCAGAGAGACAAAGATGTTATGACAATGCCTCTTTGTGTGGTTGTTGTTTTCCAAACTGGTATAAATGAGGCCATTTGATGAAATGATTGATACGGACTCAATAGACCGTGGGATGATTGCCAAGGCGGGTCCAGTCGCGGTCGCTCAGTCAACTTCCGATTCCTTTACTTTTCTATGTGACCTGTACCACTTTCAGGTAGAAAGACCAAAATAAATCACACAGCAAAATTAGAGTGGCAAAGATGTAGAGGCTCAGTCTTACAGAATGTTCTCCTATTACAAGCCAAGAAGAGTGTTGAAACTAGACTCTAACACTTGCTAAGCAAGTCAAAGACAAGAAGCTTGGACTAATCTGAGGAAGATAGATAAGAGACAAGGTATATAGTATTAGCCCCTCTCAATTCTGTTAAAATGGCTGATTTATTTTTAGTATAGCAAGTTTTAGTAAGAGTAGAGTGAGGGTTGATGTAAGAGACCCTAGTCAGGCACATGTAATTTATCCTTTTTAAGACACCTTTTTTTCAAGCAAGTTTAAGATCTTAAGAGCTCTTACATCTTGTCAGACTTTTAATATAAAGATTACAAATGTAACTCAAGTAACTTAAGCTAGGTAAAACTGCTCTCATAATTAAGTAACAAGTGAGTATATATATTTAGTATACTAAGTCTCTTTACTGTAATCTAACAAAATTATAAGTAAAATAAATTTCTTTTACTTAGAAAATATTTATAATTTACATTTCTTAGTACAGGGTTACAAGATTCTATCCCTGTACTAGATAGAACTTTTAATTACAAAAAAAATTAAAAAAATAAAGACTAGCTATTAGGGACATATTTACTAGATAAAATAAAATTCAATCTAGAATAGACTCATTGTTTTTCAATATCTTAAGAGAGTCTTTCTTACTAAGTTAACTACAAATAAAGGAAGAGATTTACTGAAAGTATTCTAATAGTAATACTGTACTAGTAATATTTACTTTTATTCTCTTTCCAGTCCTCTTAGTTATTAAGACTCTTTCAGTTATACATGTATAGTCAGATCTTAATAGTTATTAGAGAATACTACTATAATAATCTTAGATTATAAGAAATCTGAATCCTTTAGACTTAACTAATAGTTTCTAAACTTGATTTTATACAAGTACTATTAGTTATATACTATATACTATTAATAAAGACTTATTATTCATTTATAAACAGTAAATTATACTAACTGGTTGTTACAAACTAAGATTAATAACTTAGGACTTGTAATATTACTTGAGCTACTTTTAAAAGTATTATTTAGAACACAATTGTATAGTTTCATAATAATATGATAGTGTTCAAATTTTCCTATCCTTCAACTACTGTATTGTAATTAGTAACAAATTTATAGTGTTAAGGAATACTTAAGGTAATCTGACATGTAAACTATGTGTATAACTGTTTCATTTATAGAGACTAGATTCTATCCTGTAAACTACTCTATTTACTATAACATTAATATAATATAATATTAAAGTATGATACAAAATAATCTGTATACTTATAGTCTAAAGGCTTTAAACACTCAAGTAGTGTAAGAAAATTAGTATCTATATGTTACTCTAATTACACCTGTAATACATTCTTAAAGCTTTTAGTATTGTTTATACTAACTATAAGAATGTAAGCTTAAGTTAATTTTATGTATTATATAAACATTATCTTTACTTCTAACTAGCTCTTTAAATTTAATATTACTTACAGATTTTATACAATAACTTGTACTCTTGTTGACTCTCAGTTTCCCTACTTTCTTTAAATTAAATAATAGTTGACTTTCTAGAATATATAAGAATAATAGGTTTCTAAGTTGTTTAAGAAAGTTTAATATAGTACAATTAGTTATAAGTACTTTATATTCTATAATGTTAGAAACACAGTATAATACTGTACTATTCAGAAAATTAGTTAGTATTTATTATAGCTCTTTTACTTTTATAACTTACAAAGTAAAATATATTATTTAATTATAAATGAGAACCTTTACAAGCTTGAACCCTTTAAGTCTAGCTTCTATTCTCTAGTACTCTACAGTTTTGTATAATATAAGTAATGTGAGAATTAATCTATACACTATTAAAATAATTCTACATTATATTATTTATTTATCTACTAGGAAATTATAATATTAATACTAGTTAATAATTCTTAGTAGTATAGAAGGGTTGTTAAACTAAGTACAGACTGAGAAATTCTCTACTAATACTAGACTAAAAGTTATAGTATCTAGTAAGACTTCTTACTCTAAAGTTTATAAGTGTAAAAGACTTACTCTATACTACTTATACTCTATATACAAATATAACAAATTTAGAGACTATCTTTAAACCTAGAAGAGTAATAAGACACATTATAACAGATTTCTCTATTATATAATTAGTATACAAAGATTCTTACAATTACTCTACTTATAATGTAAGTATAGTACTAGTACTTAATGTTACAGTTCTCTACTCTCATACCTTCAGTTCTGAGGGTTCCACACCCTTCTGTACTAGAACTTGAGACTTTTGTCCCTCAAGAGTACTGTCTATAGACTATATGTGTACTGACTCTTACTACTACCCCTCCTTACTTCATCATTCTGTTCTTTTGACCACCCTTTCATTCTTTGTTCATTCTATAGTCTCTTACCCTTTGTCTATCCCTTCATTCTTTGTACCTTTATCTTTGACCTTCCTTTCTTTTATTCTTTATAGCTTATCATTCTTAGTAGCTCATACTCTCTAAATACTCTTGTATAGTTTAGTATATATAGGTATACAAGATTAGACTAGTTCTGTAGTCTTAATCTTGTCTACTCTAGGTAGTCCTGTACTCTTAGGCTCACTCTATATACTCTACTCTTGTCTCACTCTCTCTCTCTGTCTGTTTTGCAAGTTCTGACTATGTTCTAGTACTTACATTCTATATTTCTATTGTGTAGGATAGTTGTAGTCTAGGTCCTCTTACTAAGCCTTCAGGTCCCCTCTATACTGTTACTAACATTAGATTAAGACTACCTATTACTACCCTATGACTCTCTTATGTTTCAGGCATTAGTACTTACT